CTTTCGTATGCCAAACAACTTGCAGCACTCATGGAACACAACTGATTCCAAGTTACGTCCTTGATCTGAATGCAGTTCATATGGCATACCAAATCCGAAGAAGAAATCACAAATAGCTGAAGTTACAGTTGTAGCTTCCAGATTTGGTATTGCATCTGCCTCAGGCCACTTGGTGAAATAATCCATCACCACACAAATGTACCTGTTTCCAGCACGAGTTGGGGCAAAGGACCAGCAATGTCAACGGCTACTCTTTCCATTAGTGCGCCAACTTTATTTAACTTCATTGGAGCACGTTCTTTATGCTTGGGTCCCCTTTTAGCACAACATGTACTGCACGTCCTGCACCATTCTTCCACATCTTGCCTCATACCTATCCAGTAAAATCTCTGTTGTAGGTGACTCAATGTTTTCTTAACACCAAGATGTCCTCCTGTTACAGTATCATTGGATTGACGCAGCACAACATCCCGTAACTTTCTCGGTATAACTGTTTGCCAGGTCGTCACTTTCTCATCTGCAGTTTCCCATCTCCAGAGAAGAATACCATTATCAAGTTTCAACTGGTCCCATTGTGGCCAATAGTTCTTTGTCACAGGGCTTAAGCTTGACACCTTCTCCCAAGCAGGGCACAAAACACTTGATTTTAGAAAATCAATTATTGGTTTCCAATCTTGGTTTTTCTCCTGCTCTACTTTAATATCTATACCTGGTTCCACTTCATCATCATCAACTCCTTCAGTCACTTTGACTTCAGCTTGATGACACCTGGTTCGTTCAACCTCTCTTTTAACAGTTACCGGAATTTGGCCTTTGTTGTTACCAAACAACATTACCTTCTCGTCACGTTGTCACCCTCTTTTATATACCAGACTACCCTATATCTAGTAAACGCTAGAGCATTCGCCAAGGTACAGGATAGTTCTAGAAACGTGGCGTCACACTAGTCATGTGACTTCGCTTACGCAACACTGCCCCTTTGTTTGGCCTTTATTGTTCCCAAACATCATTTTATCAAAAATAATTACAAACTTCCTCGGTAGTAAGTAGTCCAACCCTAGTATGCATGGGTCTTCAATGTCAGCCAAGTATACTTTCTGTCTGTCCTTTATGCCCATGAGCTCAATA